CTCTTCTTTTTCTCTTCTTTCTTCCTCTAGTCCTTCAACTGCTTCTTGAGTGTCTTACAACCTGTGATATTTTTCTAGTTCCAAATACACCTTCTGACATCTTGCTACAACCTCATTTCTGACTTGCACCCCTGTCTCTGAACCGCCTGGTTTCTGAGGTTTTCACCTGATGTTCGCATTCCTTCAGATCCATCTACAAATACGACCACATTATTGACCTTTGATGACCTCATTTCTTGTTTTATGCCCTCTGACACGGTCCCTGCCTCTGATCACTGTCTCCCCATCCCTCATCCCACTCAGAACCTCACGGCAAATTCTGACCCTGTCCATGACTGACTCTTCTCTGTTTCTCCAGGGCTCCAACGCTGTGGCCTCAGCTCTTGGGGCCTGTTTGCTTCTGCGAGTGCTGGCACGCACAGAGTCTGAGGCTGAGGAAGAAGAGAGGAGGAAAGATCTGGCAGCCAAGTTTGAGGGACTAGGTGTTGGTGTGTGGGGCAGGAGTGTTTGGGAGTGGGGACAGGGAGGCTGCCATGCTTCTTCTCATACCCCTAACCTTCCTCTTAAGTTTCCTCACCTCTCCTCATAATTCTGCCCCCCACTGTTCCTTTCCCCTCCCTCACATCAGTCCCCTGCCTTCAGGTCTTTTTGGCCAATGCTACCGCAGCAATGAGAAATGGGCCGCCCGCCTTCTCCTGCGCCGCTGTCCCCTCTGGGGGGATGCCACCTGCCTCCAACTTGCCATGCAGGCTGATGCCCGTGCCTTCTTTGCCCAGGATGGGGTTCAGGTGAGTATCCAAGATTCCAATGGTCAGTCACCTTTCAGCTGGATCCTGAGAACTGTGGGAGACCAGCCCCTGCCATTGTAGGAAGTCCATGGTCTTGGTTAACTCTTTTCCTTTGAGACCACCTCTCATCCAGGAAGGCTTGGCCATCTTCTGTAAATGTTGCTGTTCCCCCCAAAATCCCCAGCCCTGCCAGAGGAAAACCAACCTTCCCACAGCGAAGTCCACTCTCCTAAAAATTCCCACTCCAATACAGGAAAATAGAAAGTCCCATTGTTCACACCGGAAGTGCTTATCACTCCCACAGAAAATCCCATTTCTTCCAAAGGAAGTCCCGTCTCATAAACAGGAAGACCACTGCTCTCTTTAAGAGGTCCCTTGTTCCAGTTCTTAACAACTGAGTGGGTTCACTGAATAATTACTTAGTTTTTGAAACCTAGGCAAACTCTGATTTAGGAAATCCCACCTTTCCTGTAGGAAACCCTCTCTTGCGAAGCCCTGCTTGTTCCCAATCACTTCCATTTTACCAACCCTCGAATTTTGGAAATTTTCTGGGTATTATTTTTTTTTATATACTTGTTTAAGATATTTGTTTCTTTCATTCTTTTTTTTTTAATTTAAGGTTTTTATTGTGGCT